CGCAGGGGGGATAGATGGCACAGGATTTCAAACGAGGCTCTGGCCTTCGTTACAGACCCGCGGGGGGTTCGACTCTCAAGGAGGCGCTTCCCATGGCGAAACTGTCCGCGTGCCGAAACATTCGAGGAGCGAGCGAACGAGCGAACCAGAAAGTGCGGAGCATCCTCCAGGCCTATCTATGGCTAAGCGGGTGAGGCCGCGGTCTCTATATTATTAACATGAAAACGCATTTGGATGTTGTGCATATACATATACCTATCTATATATAGTTAAATATATATATATATGTGTGTATACTTGGATGCATACATACATATATACATATATGCATACATACATACATACATACATACGTACGTACGTACATACATACATACATACATACATACATACGCACAAACATGCATACATACATACATACATACATATATACATACATACAAACATACATACATACATATATAGCATAACATACATACATACATACATACATACATACATACATACATGCATACATACGTACGTACGTACGTACGTACATACATACATACATACATACATACATACATACATACATACATACACACACAAACATACATACATACATACACACGTACGTATATACATACATACATACATACATACATACATACATACATACATATATACATACATACATACATAATACATACATACATACTTACATTTCATTAATTCATGCATGGATTCATTCATACATACATACATACATAGTTAGATGTATACATACGTACATACATACGTACATGCATGCATGCATGCATGAAGACATACCGAAATGCATACGTGCATGCATGCATACGTGCATGCATACAGACGTACAGACAGACCGACAGACAGACGTACGTATATACATACAGACAGACAGACATGCAGACAGACAGACAGGCAGACAGGCATATATGCATGCAGACATACATGCATGCATGCATACATACATAAATGCATACATGCATAGATGCATACGTGCATACATACATACAGACAGACAGACATACGTATCTATATATACATATAACCATACAAACGGACAGACATACATGCATGCATGCATGCACGCACATATACACACATCGATATATATATATATATAGACAGAGGGAGATATAGATCCGCCATCGTACCCTGAGGCACAAGTTGGAGTGTCCTCAGGTCCTTGGCATAATCCCTCAAGCCTCAGCCCTCAATCCTGAATATGTAGTCAAGGGCTCGGACCCCAAATTCAGCTTCTCTGGGCCCTGTCGCGGCTCGTCGTGTGACTCCGAGCCGGGAGGGCCCCAAGACTGACCAAAAGCGCCCCAAGAGGCCCCCAAGACGGTCCAAGAAAGCCTCGAATCGCCGAACGATCAGTCCAAGACGCCCAAGATGCCCTGAAGACGGCGGAAGAGGTGCCCAAGACGCCCCACGAGAGGCCCAAGAGGCCTCCCAAGAGGGCCCCAAGAAACAAAAGCGTCAAATTCTGGCTGGAAAACATACATGGTTAGCATATACGGCTTTCCGACGTTCCAGACGGCCCAAGAGGCCCCAAAGATCGCCCCCAAGTCGGCCCCAACGAGCCCCCAAGACGGCCCAAAGCGCCCCAAAACTGCCCAAGAGGCGCCCAGGACGGTCCACAAGAGCTTCAAGACTGCCCCAATTTGGGCCGAAGAGGGGGAGACCGAACCGACAATTCGAGCTCTCCGCCCCAAGATACCCCATGGAGGCCCCAAGAGGCCCCCAGGAGCCCCCCGGAGGCCCCCAAGAGGCGCCCAAGACGCCCCAAGAGGCCCCAAAAAAGCCCCCGAGAGGCCTCAACAGCCTCCAAGGGGCCCTCGAAAGGCCTCCCACGACACCCTCACGAAAATCCACGAGGCCTATGACCCACAACCCAGGCACGGTGGTGAGGCTCCCCTCGGACAGAAGAGCACACGGGGGGAAGGAGCGTGGGGGCACGAGAGGCAGAGAGGGGCCACACACTCTGCCGCTCCGGCTCCCCCCTGCGTGCGCTTCTTCACTCACGGCATCCCCCCCCTCCCAGGAATCTACTAACCCGGTCAATCCAGACCCGGGTCAGTCAGGCCCTGCAGGATCCTGAAAAATCCTGCAGGATCCTGAAAGATCCTGCAGGATCCTGCAGTATCCTGCACCCAGACCCGAGTCAATGCGCCCGTGGCTCTGCAGGGTCCTGCAGAATTCCGGCGCTCTGACTGACCCCCGTTTGCACTGACCACCGTCTCTTGAGCCCCAACCCCCCACCGCCACCGCCGCGCCGTTGTCGTTCTTATTGTTATTGTTATTGTCGTCGTCGTCGTCGTCGTCGTCGTCGCACCCGCCGCCGCCGCCGCCGCCAGGGGCCACCGCCGCCGCGGGCGTCGTCGTTGTCGCGAGGCGCCCCTGGCGGCCCACCACTTGGCCACAAACAGCGCCATGAGGCGCAGCTCCACCACGCCGCTGCCAGGGGCCGCCAGCGCGGGTGCCCCGCCTGCGGGGCCCGCTGCTGGTGCCGACGCTGAGGCTGCCGCTGCTGATGATGATTATGGTGACTATGGAGATGCTGATGATAATGGTGATAGTGATGGCAATGGTGATGGCATGGATGATGATGGTGATGGTGATGGTGATGATGGTGATGGTGATGATAATGGTGGTAATGATGTCTATCATGGGAGTGATACTGCTAATGATGATGCGAAAGTTGATGATGATGACGATGATGATGGTGATAATGATGATGATATTGATGATGATGATGATGATTATGATTATGATTATGATGGTGATGATGGGGCTGATGATGATAAGAAGGTGATGGTGATGATGATAACGATGAAGATGGTGGTGATGATGCTGGTGGTGGCGGCGATGGTGATGATGACAACAATGATGCTAAGGATGATGATGATGATGATGATGATGATGATGATGATGATCATGATGATGATGGTGAGCATGATGGTGATAGTGTTGATGATGCTGACGATGACGATGGTGGTGATAATGCTGGTGATGAGGATGAGGATAAGAAGGAGGATGAAGATGTAGATGACGATGAAGATGGAGATGATGATAATGAGGGGGGGGGTGATGATGATTATGATGATGGTGATGGTGATGGTGATGGTGATGGTGATGGTGATGGTGATGGTGGTAATGATGATTATATATGTGGGCATGGTGGCAATGTAATGGTGGTGGTGATGATGACTATGATGATGGTGATATCGATGATGCTGATGATGATGATGATGATGATGATGATGATGATGATGATGATGATGATGGTGGTGACGATGCCGATGGTGATGATGATGATGACGATGAGGGCGATGATGATCGTGATGGTGATGATGGTGATGATCATGGTAATGGTGATGGTGATGAGGATGAGGAGGAGGAGGAGGATGATGATGACTATGAGTATGATAAGATGACGATGGCGCATGGTGGTGATGATGGTGATGATGATGAAGATGGTGATGTTGTTGACGGTGGTGGTAAAGATAATGATGCTGATGTTGATAATGATCATGCTGGTGGTGATGATGATGGTAATGATGATGCAGAGGGGGCGTGCCTTCTCAGAAGGCTCGGAAGGTTTCGGGCCTTCTGAAAAGTTGTCAAAGCCTTCTCCGAAGACAGAGACGGCTTCTCAGGAGGGCTTCTGAGAAGCCCCACAGCCTTCTGAGAAGGCCTGCCCCCTTTCACTTCCCCCCCAGGCGCGCCGCCGAATGATCCTGGCGTTTCGCGTTCCCGAATGCGCGCCAAAAAGGTGCGAGGCAAGTCCTTTTCAAAGCGGGGCCCTTGCCAACATGGCACGCCCAACCGTGCTGATCGTTCAAGCGGGGCATTTTCTTGTAGTGGGACACATGCGGAGGGGACTCGGACAGGAGGGTGTACTGCAGCATCGCTGATGCATCTTTGGTTTCCTCTGGTCCTCCTCCTCCCTCCTCCTCCCCCTCCTCCATCTCATTTCCTTATGAATAACTTTTCCCTGCCACAGTTTTTAGGGCGGGCCGGGCGTTTCGCCTGAGACATCCTCAAAACTCATGACCCTGAAGCTTAAACATTGGCAACAGCTTCACAGATGGAGGGCGGGTGGTTTTCAAAATGTGGCTCTCGTTTACTGAAAAAAATACAAGAATTTCACGGATTGAGGGCAGGTGGCTTTCAAAATGTAGCTCTCGCCTTAGCGCCGCGCACATTCGTTGCGAGAAAGTGCAAGAGCTTCACCGATTGCAAGCGGGTGGTTTTCAAAATGTGGCTCTCGCCTTAGCGCCGCGCACATTCGTTTTCAAAATTTGCAAGAGTTTCACGGGTTGAGGGCGGGTGGCTTTCAAAATGTGGCTCTCGCCTTAGCGCCGCGCACACTCGTTAAAAAAAATGCAGGAATTTCACGGATTGAAGGCAGCTCCTTTTCAAAATGTGGCTCTCGCCTTAGCACCGCGCACATTCGTCTAAACAAATTCCAAGAGTTTCACGCATTCCCATGATCGACGTACCAGAAATTGTGTTTTGGAAGGGTTCACGACTATGAAGGTGCAACAATTACAATGATTCGCGGTGTAGATGTCACAAGAGTGGCGTTCCGGCACGATTCAGGAACGTCAAGACGCAAAAGTCAAGTTTATCCGTGGCGTTGGAATCCCGAGAACAATGTTTTGGCAGGCTTCAGGGTCTTCAAACTGTTGTCTTCCAACGAGGCAGATCCCTGTGGAAATGAACCGTTGTAGGGGCCAAATCATGAAGAGGGAGCTTGAGGGGATGGTTTATTCCAATATCGTTGGTGATTCTTGGGTTTGCACTGGTCCTCCCCCTCCTCCTCCTCCTCCTCCTCCTCCTCCTCTTCTATCTGAGCTGTTAATGTATGCTTCAGCTGCCTGACTTCTTTATCCATCATCCTCCGTCCTCCTCCTCCTTTTCCTCCTCCTCCTCCGCCTCCGCCTCCTCCTCCTCCTCATCCTCATCATCCTCCTCCTCGTCCTCCTCCTCCTCCTCCCCCTGTTTCTCCTCATCCTCCTCCCCCTCCCCTGCTTATTCCAGTATTCCCCTTCGCGTCAATCAAGTGCCACAAACACCGTCCTCCTAGTCCTACTCACCCTCCTCGTCCAAACTGCCTGTCTCCTCAATCCACACCTCTGCCTGGCCCATCGCTTATTCATTCCTCCTTGGGTGGTTTACCCCGCTCGCTGAACTGACACGATCATCCCGTTTCCCTACTGCTTCCTCCGTCCCTAGGTCATGCTGGTCGGGCCCCTGTTCCTCCTGGATGGTAGCCCCCTCTGCCGCTCCAGGCCAATCCCGCAGTTGCGAATCATCATCCTCACGCTTGTCTGTTTCCTCACTGGTCTCCACCTGCCCCTCACACACGTCCTCTTCATCCTCCTTTTTGTGCACCTCCTCCGTCCCCGTCATATCGAGCAACCACCCAAAAACACGCATCACTGGCGCGTGGCGGCTTGGGTAACGGAGCTGCGTACGCGCGCCAATGAACATGTGCCGCGTCGTTATGCTAGCCACCCGCTACTGCACCCCATTCGGCCCTGGGCACCTACGCAATATTCCTGCCGTGGCGAGATGGCTCCTTTTTCTGGTGCCACGCACCCACTCTCGAGCGATCTCCGCTCTGGCAAGCAAGATGCAAGACACGGGTTCGGGAGACCCCGGTTGGCCTGACGGGGCCGTCAAAACAATGGCGCGATCAAGTCTGAAATTTGACTCGAGCTTTTGCTGCAAACACCCCACGAAAACTGGACGGCCAAAATCCGAGGCGGGCTCGTCGCAACCCGAAGACATTGTTAGGGACCCTCCAGAATTATCCTTAGCACCAAACTAGTTATAATCAACTCTAGGGGTGGTTTTCACCGAACCATATCTCTAGCACCGCACGAACAATAAATGGGGAAAAACCAAACTCTTGCGACCTGCTCTATTTATCGCACGATATCCTAACACAATTCGTCTGGATCTCTGCAAGCTGCGTCCAGTCCGCGGCTTAGCGGTGGACGTGCTTGGTAATAGCAGAAGTAGTACTACTACTACTACTACTACTACTACTACTACTACTACTACTACTACTACTACTACTACTACTACAACGACTACTACGACTACTACGACTACTACGACTACTACGACTACGACTACGACTACGACTACGACTACTACTACTACTACTACTACTACTACTACTACTACTACTACTACTATATACTACTACTACTACTATTACTACTACTACTACTATTACTACTACTACTACTACTACTACTACTACTACTACTACTACTACTACTACTACTACTACTACTACTACTAGTACTAGTAGCAATAGACGTGGGCGCAATAGTAATAGTAGTCGTCGTAGTAGTAGTGACAGTAGTAGTAGTCGTTGTTGTTGTAGTAGTAGTAGTAGTAAGAGTAAGAGTAGTAGTGGTAGTAGTAGTAGTAGTAGTAGTAGTAGTAGTAGTAGTAGTAGTAGTAGTAGTAGTAGTAGTAGTAGTAGTAGTAGGGATACAAAATATCCCGGCAAAGCAGCCTGACAGCGATGTGTATAAGCATATCTGGAAGCATTCCCCTTACGATTCAGGTGAGAATCCAGTTGTACAATTCTGCTGGTCTCGCAGTCGCAGTCGCATTCGCAATGACAGTCGCAGTGGCAACGGCCTTAGGATCCAATGGAATCCTAAGGATTCCTAGGGATTCCTAGGGATTCCTAAGGCATCCTTAGGCATCCTTAGGATTCCACAGGAATCCTTAGGAAACCTGAGGATTCCTCAGGATTCCTGAGGATGCTTAACTATGCCTACGGATTCCTAAGGATGCCTACGGATATCTACGGATTCCTAGAGATTCCTCAGGATTCCTATGGATTCCTACGGATGCCTCAGCCTGCATCAGTTTCAGCCTCAGCCTCAGCCTGTCTCGGCTTGCCTCAGCCTCAGCCTCAGCGTGCCTCGGCCTCAGCCTCAGCCTGCCTCAGCTTCAGCCTCAGCCTGCCTCGGCCTCAGCCTGCGTCAGCCTCAGCCTCAGCCTGCGTCAGCCTCAGCCTGCCTCAGCCTCAGCCTCAGCCTCAGCCTGCCTCGGCTTGCCTCAGCCTCAGCCTCAGCCTCAGCCTGCCTCGGCCTCAGCCTGACTCGGCCTCAGCCTGCCTCAGCCTCCCCTCCTCCCCCCCCCCCTTCCCCCCCCCAATTCAGCCTCACCTTGTCTCAGCTTCGGCCTGCCTCAGCCTCAGCCTCAGGCCTGCCTCAGCCTCAGCCTGCCTCAGCCTCAGCCCAGCCTGTCTCAGCCTAGCAATCGCCTCAGCATCAGCCTCAGCCTCAGCCTCAGCCTGCTTCAGCCTCAGCCTCAGTCTGCCTTCAGCCTCGGCGTCAGCCTCAGGCTGCCTCAGCCTCAGCCTGCATCAGCCTCAGCCTCAGCCTCAGCCTGCCTCAGCATCAGCCTGCCTCAGCCTCTGCCTCAGCCTCAGCCTCAGCCTCAGCCTGC